TTCCTCCCACTGACGGACCCAACTTTGGGGGGCACTATTCCTCCCACTGAAAACCAACAATGGGCACTTTTCCCTCCCATTTGACACCAACAAGGGGGGCACAATTCCCCCCAAATTTGACACTAATAGGGGGCCCACAATTCCTCCCACTGACCCCAAACGATGGGGCACTATTCCTCCCACTGACACTAATGAAGGGCACAATTCCCCCCCACTGATACCAATGAGGGGCCCCAAATTCCCCCCACCTGACACCAATGATGGGCCCCTATTCCTCCCACTAAACACCAAAAATTGGGGCACTTTTCCCTCCCATTTGACCCCAAAACAAGGGGGAAACTATAATTGTATTGGTATTGTTTCTGTCCCCCTTTGTAATTGTACAGCGCTGAGGCGAACTATTGGCGCTTTATAAATTACTGTTAATAATATAATAACTGACACCAATCATGGGTCACTATTCCTCCCACTGATACAATGATGGGGCACATATTCCTCCCACTGACATACCAATGATGGGCCACTATTCCTCCCACTGACACCAATGACTGGGGCACTATTCCTCCCACTGATTCAACCAATGATGGGGCACTATTCCTCCCACTGACCACCAACAAAGGTGCACTATTCCTCCCCACTGACAACAATGATGGGGCACTATTCCTCCCACTGACACCAACAAAGGTGCACTAATCCTCCCTACTGACACCAACAATGGGGCACTATTCTTCCCACTGATACCAATGATGGGGGCACTATTCCTCCCACTGGACACCAATGATGGGGCACTATTCCTACCCACTGACACCAACATTGGAGCACTATTCCTCCCACTGACACCAACAATGGGCACTATTCCTCCCACTGACACCAATGATGGGGCACTATTCCTCCCACTGACACCAATGACTTGGGGCACTATTTCTCCACTGACACCAATGATGGGGGCACTATTCCTCCCACTGACCACCAATGATGGAGCACTATTCCTCCCACAGATACCAATGATGGGGCACTATTCCTCCCACTGAAACCAATGATGGAGCACTATTCCTCCCACATGATACCAATGATGGGGCACTATTCCTCCCACTGATACCAATGATGGGGCACTATTCCTCCACTGACACCAATGATGGGGCACTATTCCTCCCACTGACACCAATGATGGGGCACTATTCCTCCCACTGACACCAACAATGGGGCACTATTTCTTCCACTGATACCAATGATGAGGGGGCACTATTCCTCCCACTGACACCAACAAATGGGGCACTGTTCCTCCCACTGACACAACAACGGGGCACTATTCCTCCCACTGAAACCAATGATGGGGCACTATTCTTCCCACTGACACCAACAATGGGGCACTGTTCCTCCCCACTGACACCAAACAATGGGGCACTGTTCCTCCACACTGACACCAATGATGGGGCACTATTCCTCCCACTGACACCAACAATGGGGAGGGGGGGCACTATTCCTCCCACTGACACCAACAAAGGTGCACTATTCCTCCCACTGACACCAATGATGGGGCACTATTCCTCCCACTGACACCAACAATGGGGCACTGTTCCCTCCCACTGACACCAACAATGGGGCACTATTCCTCCCACTGAAACCAATGATGGGGCACTATTCTTCCACTGACACCAACAATGGGGCAACTGTTCCTCCCACTGACACCAACAATGGGGCACTGTTCCTCCCACTGACACCAATGATGGGGCACTATTCCTCCCACTGACACCAACAATGGGGCACTATTCCTCCACTGACCACCAACAAAAGGTGCACTATTCCTCCCACTGACACCAAGGATGGGACACTATTCTCTCCCACTGACACGAACAATGGGGCACTATTCCTCCACTGATACCATGAAATGATGGGGTACTATTTCTCCCATGGACACCAATGATGGGGCACTATTCCTCCCACTGATACCAATGATGGGGCACTATTCCTCCCACTGACACCAATGATGGGGCACTATTCCTCCCACTGACACCAATGATGGGTCACTATTCCTTCCACTGTCACCAATGATGGGGCACTATTCCTCCCACTGATACCAATGGATGGGGCACTATTTCTCCCACTGACACCAATGATGGGCACTATTCCTCCCACTGATTTACCAATGATGGGGCACTATTCCTCCCTGACACCAATGATGGGGCACTATTCCTCCACTGACACCCAATGATGGGGCACTGTTCTCCCACTGACGCCAACAATGGGGCACTATTCTTCCCACTGATACCAATTGATGGGGCACTATTCTTCCCACTGACAACAATGATGGGGCACTATTCCTCCCACTGACACCAACAATGGGGCACTGTTCCTCCCACTGACGCCAACAATGGGGCAACTATTCCTCCCACTGAAACCAATGATGGGGCACTATTCTTCCCACTGACACCAACAATGGGGGGCACTATTCCTCCCACTGACACCAACAATGGTGCATTATTCCTCCCACTGACCCCAACAATGGGGTAGTATTCCTCCCAGTGACACCAACAATGGGGGGCGCTATGAATGTGGGGTCCGAGGAGAGTGGATATAGTGAATGCGGGGTCCCCCCCGGGGAGAGCGGATATAGTGAATGCAGGGTCCGGGGAGAGCGAGGGATATAGTGAATGCAGGGTCCGGGGAGAGTGGATATAGTGAATGCAGGGTCCGGGGAGAGCGGATATAGTGAATGCGGGGTCCAGGGAGAGCGGATATAGTGAATGCGGGGTCCGGGGAGACCAGATATAGTGAATGCAGGGTCCAGGGAGAGCGGATATAGTGAATGCAGGGTCCGGGGAGAGCGGATATAGTGAATGCAGGGTCCGGGGAGAGGCGGATATAGTGAATGCGGGGTCCGGGAGAGAGTGGATATAGTGAATGCGGGGTCCGGGGAGAGGGATATAGTGAATGCGGGGTCCGGGGAGAGCGGATATAGTGAATGCAGGGTCCGGGGAGAGTGGATATAGTGAATGCGGGGTCCGGGGAGAGCGGATATAGTGAATGCGGGGTCCGGGGAGAGCGGATATAGTGAATGCGGGGTCCGGACGGGGGAGAACTGGAAGGACCTTTGTCTTTTTTTAACGGACTAACTATGTAACTATGACCTGTAAATTATTTCATGGGTTCCTCCATGATAAAGTGCTGAGAGAAGCTGCTTTACACTAGATTGTAAGCTCCCAGGATCAGGCCCTCCTTTCCCTCTTGTATTGAACTGTATGGTTGCTGTATTGTCTCCGTTATATTGTAAAGCGCTGAGCAAACTGTTGGCGCCATAAATCCTGTATAATAATAATATATAAATCCTGTATAATAATAATATATAAATCCTGTATAATAATAATAATAATATTTAAATCCTGTATAATAATAATAATATATAAATCCTGTATAATAATAATAATATATAAAATCCTGTATATTAATAATAATAATTTACACTGACATTCTCATAAGTCTTTTTGCAGTTGATCTCCATCTTATAAACGCACTTTTGAATTTGTTTCTTTGTTTCCTCTTGTGACTTTTACCTAATGTTCTCCGTTCAGCCCGCTCCCACTCGCCCGGCTGCCGATCCGTCTGCATTAGCTTGCTGCCGGTGTAAAGCTCGGTGGATGTCTCGGCGTTCTGCCCTGCGCCTCAGCCTGCAGTGTAGATCTTACAAGACAAAGTGCCTGGTACAGGGCAGATAGATGGAGGGCCGGCCCGAGGAAGGCGTCTTGATGAAATGGTTCAATTAAAAGCACAAGCATTTACATGGTGTAATTTCCCTAAATTGCCAGCCAGTCCCTGCAGACGGGAGTGTTGGGGGAGGGATTGATCAGCACATTGATTTTGGCTGAAGATGATAAATTTCTGCTGGTTAGTTAAAGTCGTTGTGCGCCGGGTCCTGGGCTGCCGCGCTGAACGGCTTCTTTATCGGATGCTTAAAACAGGACTTATTTTCCGAGGCCGCTGGGTCTGATCTCAGCTCAAGCTATTCCCAAACCATCTCTTACTCAGATGATTTTTGCTTAGCTTCTGTATGCAGATCAATAGGTGATTGAAACTGATTAAAACTTAGGCAACCAGTTACCGGCACCAGTTTAATTAGAAACAGGCTGATTCTTAAATGAAAGGGCTTTGTGAGTTGTTTTTTTTTTTTTTTCTTGCATACTTAAACGTCACGCAAAATAAAAAGGCCCATTTAAAATGTTTGTGCAACGAAAATCCCAGGGGCGATGCAAGCACATCTGACACTGGAAAGCTCTGCTGAGATACTTTTTTTTTTTTTTTGTTCTCCACAAATTCCATTAGGCTAGGTTCACATATGTGAAAATCCGTGCAGCCGCACAGAGAAATGCAGACCCGCGGGTGGGTGCCGATAGTTCTAATGGCACGCCGTCCGCACTGGAAAACGCAACTGTACTGGGAACCGATAAAATAAGGCAGGGTCCAGTGGGGGAGCGGATATAGTGAATGCGGGGTCCTGGGAGAGCGGATATAGTGAATGCGGGGTGCAGAGAGAGCGGATGTAGTGAATGCGGGGTCCTGGGAGAGCGGATATAGTGAATGCGGGGTCCGGGGGAGAGCGGATATAGTGAATGCGGGGTCCGGGAGAGCGGATGTAGTGAATGCAGGGTCCTGGGAGAGCGGATATAGTGAATGCGGGGTCCGGGGAGAGCGGATATAGTGAATGCGGGGTCCGGGGAGAGCGGATATAGTGAATGCGGGGTCCGGGGAGAGCGGATGTAGTGAATGCGGGGTCCTGGGAGAGCGGATATAGTGAATGCGGGGTCCTGGGAGAGCAGATATAGTGAATGCGGGGTCCGGGGAGAGCGGATATAGTGAATGCAGGGTCCTGGGAGAGCGGATATAGTGAATGCGGGGTCCTGGGAGAGCGGATGTAGTGAATGCGGGGTCCGGGGAGAGCGGATGTAGTGAATGCGGGGTCCGGGGAGAGCGGATATAGTGAATGCGGGGTCCTGGGAGAGCGGATATAGTGAATGCGGGGTCCGGGGAGAGCGGATATAGTGAATGCGGGGTCCGGGGAGAGCGGATATAGTGAATGCAGGGTCCGGGGAGAGCGGATGTAGTGAATGCGGGGTCTGGGGAGAGCGGATATAGTGAATGCGGGGTCCGGGGAGAGCGGATATATAGTGAATGCGGGGCCCGGGGAGAGCGGATATAGTGAATGCGGGGTCCGGGGAGAGCGGATGTAGTGAATGCGGGGTCCGGGGAGAGCGGATGTATTGAATGCGGGGTCCGGGGAGAGCGGATATAGTGAATGCGGGGTCCGGGGAGAGCGGATATAGTGAATGCGGGGTCCGGGGGGAGCGGATATAGTGAATGCGGGGTCCGTGGAGAGCGGATATAGTGAATGCGGGGTCCGGGGAGAGCGGATATAGTGAATGCAGGGTCTGGGGAGAGCGATATAGTGAATGCAGGGTGCAGGAAGACTGGATATAGTGAATGCGGGGTCCGGGGAGAGCGGATATAGTGAATGCGGGGTCCTGGGAGAGCGGATATAGTGAATGCGGGGTCCGGGGAGAGCGGATATAGTGAATGCGGGGTCCGGGGAGAGCGGATATAGTGAATGCGGGGTCCAGAAGAGAGCGAATATAGTGAATGCGGGGTCGGGGAGAGCGGATACAGTGAATGCGAGGGTCGGGGAGAGCGGATATAGTGAATGCGGGGTCCGGCGAGAGCGGATATAGTGAATGCAGGGTCCTGGGAGAGCAGATATAGTGAATGCGGGGTCCGGCGAGAGCGGATATAGTGAATGCGGGGTCCGAGGAGAGTGGATATAGTGAATGCAGGGTCCTGGGAGAGCAGATATAGTGAATGCCGGGTCCGGGGAGAGCGGATATAGTGAATGCAGGGTCTGGGGAGAGTGGATATAGTGAATATGGGGTCCAGGGAGAGCGGATATAGTGAATGCGGGGTCCGGGGAGAGCGGATATAGTGAATGCAGTTGCACCACCGGCACAGAGCAATGCGGACCCGCAGGTAGGTGCCGTTAGTTCTAATGGCACGCCGCTTGCACTGGAAACCGCAACCGTACTGGGAACCGAGGTTGCGTTTTAAGAAGAAATGCAGGGACTTCTTTCCTGCGTGTCACGGTGCACGGGAGTCCATTCAAATGAATGGGCTCTCGTGCCTGCACAAATCGTGTCCCTCGCATATATGTGAACCGGGGTTAATGTAGATAGGGTGTAGTTAGATTTGAATAATAAGCTCCAACCTTCAGCCCGGGTTCACACTGATGCTGTGCGGAATTCTCAGCGTTTTGTGTACAAATCCCGCACCGCATCAGAATCGCACCTTGTTCATGCATAGTTACATAGTTAGTCTGGCTGAAAAAAGACAAAAGTCCATCCAGTTCAACCATAGGAGGAAAAAAAAAAGTTATAATCCTAGAGGAAGCAGGCTTTAAAGAAAACGTTAAGTAAAAGTCAAAAAGAGGAAACAAAAAGAAAAAAAAAGAAAGTGTGTTTATAAGATGGAGATCAACTGCAAAAAGACTTATGAGGATGTCAGTGTAAAGCAGCTTCTCTCAGCACTTTTATCATGGAGGAATCCTTGAAATAATTTTCAGGTCATAGTTACATAGTAAGTCTGGCTGAAAAAAGACAAAAGTCCATCCAGTTCAACTGTAAAGAAGAAAAATAAAAGTTATAATCCTACACCCACAGTAGATCCAGAGGAAGGCAAAATAAACCCAGCAAAGCACGATCCAATTTGCTCCTGTAGGGGAAAAAATTCCTTCCTGATCCCCCGAGAGGCAATCGGATATTCCCTGGATCAACGTCACCTATAAATATGCAAACCGCTGTGGGTGTGTATGTTAAGTTAACAACACCCCGAAAGCGGTCCGCAAAACGCGGTGCGATGTGCAGAATCGGATCACATAGGTGTGAATACCCGTGCGATCCGATTCTAGTGCCGGCTCAAAAACGGTCCTGTACCTTTTTTGCTGCGGGTGCGGTGTGATTGGAGCCATACAAAATGTACGGCTCCGATCACACCGCACACTCCCTAATCATATCACGACTCGACTACTGCAACTCCCTCCTCACTGGCCTGCCTCGCCGCTGGCTATCCCCGCTTCAGTCCATCCTGAATACGGCTGCCAGACTCATTCACCTTCATTTTTTTTTTTATTTTGTCCAACCGCTCCGTCTCCGCCACCCCCCTCTGCCAATCCCCTCCACTGGCCTCCACTCAGTGTCCTCCACCCCTCTCTGCCAATCCCTCCACTGGCCTCCACTCAGTGTCCTCCACCCCTCTCTGCCAATCCCTCCACTGGCCTCCACTCAGTGTCCTCCACCCCTCTCTGCCAATCCCTCCACTGGCCTCCACTCAGTGTCCTCCACCCCCCTCTGCCAATCCCTCCACTGGCCTCCACTCAGTGTCCTCCACCCCTCTCTGCCAGTCCCTCCACTGGCCTCCACTCAGTGTCCTCCACCCCTCTCTGCCAATCCCTCCACTGACCTCCACTCAGTGTCCTCCACCGCTCTCTGCCAATCCCTCCACTAACCTCCACTCAGTGTCCTCCACCCCTCTCTGCCAATCCCTCCACTGGCCTCCACTCAGTGTCCTCCACCCCCCTCTGCCAATCCCTCCACTGGCTTCCGATTGCCCAACGGATCAAATTCAGAATCCTAACACTGACGTACAAAGCTGTCCACCATACTGCCCCAAATTACATCACCGACCTAATATCCAAGTACCACCCAAAACGCACACTCCGCTCCTCACAAGACCTCCTTCTCTCTAGTTCCCTGGTCTCCTCCTCCCATGCCCGCCTCCAGGACTTCTCCAGGGTGTCACCCATCCTCTGGAACTCCCTTCCCCAACCCATCAGACTATCACCTACTCTCCTCTCCTTTAGGCGCACCCTGAAAACCCATCTCTTCAGGGAAGCCTACCCCACCCCCTGCTAATTCCCGACCTTCTCCACTCTTCCTACCACTCCATCCCCCACAGCTATCTCCTCCTGTGCCACCATCCCCTCCCTCCTAGATTGTAAGCTCCAAGGAGCAGGGCCCTCGATCCCCTCATGTTTTGCATTGTATTGGTATTGTTCTGTCACATGTTCTGTCCCCCTTTGTAATGTACAGCGCTGAGCGAACTATTGGCGCTTTATAAATACTGTATAATAATAATATGTGATTGGCAGAGGAATGCGGTGCGGTTCCGGTACGAATCACGTGATATACCGCACCGAATGAACCTATCCTCGATCTACTATGAATTCTATGAATACTACAAATTTTTACAGCTGAACTCCAGGCTGATATAAACCGGCACACATACATGCCGTTAGGTGTACGTTGTACTCAAAAGTTTGCCTCCTCCTGGCAGAAATGGTGAAATTTTGCCATTGATATTGAAAATAGGACTGATCATGCCAAAAACATTTTTTTTTTTTTTTTAACAATGGATTTTTTTATATAGACCATACACATCAAAGAAACAGTCAAAGACAAGATCACTGACACAAAAGAACAAGATATACAGTTCTTCTGATGAAGGACATAAATGCACTGAGGTATTGACAGAGGAATAAACTGAGTACATAATCACAATACATAAAGAGATGAAATTAAACCTTATAATTTGCCTTAACCCCCCTGGCGGTATTCCCGAGTGTAGCTCGGGGTAAAGTTTCAGCACCACAAGCGGTGACCCCCCCGAGCTACACTCGGGAATACTCTGCAGCGTTGCTCCGGGATCTCTTCTGCACTTACCTTGTCCTGCGCTCCCGCGATGTCCCCCCTGCAGTGTCCCCGGCAATGTCCTCCAGCCGATGCCGGCATCTGTCTTCCGGGTTCCGTCTCCTGCGACGTCGGGACGTACGAGGGACAGAACTGGCGGGAAGTTTGAAAATTGTAAAACTGACAGTCACAAAATCCACTAAAATCACATAGTATAACATTCCTGTATCAAACCATTTCACATACATTTTGTCCCGAGTGCTTTGTCCGGCGCCCTGCCTGCATTTTTACTGTTCTTTCTGCCTGGAAACTGAGAAACGTCCATGGCGTCCAAAAAGCGTCCCTTTAGGTCAGACGCGGTTTTAGACCGGCTAGAGAACAGCGATAGTAAATCAGAACCACTTGCAGAATTGATTGATAATGATTCGTGGGGGAAATTCCTCATCAGACACTGAAAACGATTCTGCGACTGAGCTCAGCGATGTGCAAACTTGGCGCTATATTTCACATTTCAGTGTTTTTGGTTTGAATATATTATTGAATTAAATTTATTTTTATTATATTATTATTTTTATGATTATTTATTTTATTATAATTTATGATTTCGTGTTTCAAGTTTTATCATCCCCGGGATGTTTACTAGACTCTTGTTTGGACAGATTTCAGTGAGTTATTCCTAAGGATTACAGGCCTACAATAAAAAAACAACATATTTCCATGCAAAAAAATGTACCGCTTTGAGCACAGAAATATGGACATAATCAGACCGTTAGGGAGGTTAATGGCAAACAGAGACCAATGAGCTAGTAGGCGAAGGCCAAAGATTATCACTAGAACCGCATACAAAGGGTAGGGAAAGCTGAACACGGAGCCTCATTGAATGCATATCGGTATTCTACACCTAGGACTCTCAAGAAATTCCAACCGGTATATAAAATATTGCCAGTACGATTCTCTAG